TGTGTTATTTTGCGCTGAACTCGTACCAGAAGTTGAATTTAAATTTATTGAATTCTAATTTTTGAGACGAATATTATGTTAACATACAAAGTTGTTCGAAGACATGAATTACATTTTGAGTATAAAAATTTTTAACAAAAATTTAATATTTAAAACGCATTATTTAATTGTCTTTATTTATTATCTTTGTTCTATATACAATTAACTTCGAAAACATTTCATTTTAGCCCATTATGAATTGTGCATGCTTCAAGGTCTATGGGGTCACATACATAACGCATTCTTTTAAATTGTTTTTTATTTATTTTTCATATTATTACAAATGCGGCACCTAAAAAGTTAACAAAAATTTTAATCAGAAAACAAACCGGAAATCAGTAATTAAAAACCGAAAATAAAATATAAAAAAAAAAAACAATATAATAAAAAAAGAAACATGAAAAAAAGGTGATATATATTTATATTAAATTAAAAATTAAAAAAAATAATATTAATATGGATAAAAATCATATTTGTTGAATTTATTTGTTTATTTAGTAAAATCAGAACATAAATATTAAAGCAAAAAAAAAAGTATAAAGAAAAACAAGAAAAAAAATATTGAATAAAAAATTGAGAGATAATGATAAAAAAAAATGAAGAAAGAAAGAAAGAAAGAAGCTTACCATCGATTTTCGATCATAAAAATGCAAAAAAGAAAAAAAGCGAAAAAAAAATGAAATTTTTTTTTTAATTAAAAAAAATAAAAATTTTTTATTAAATTATAAAATTATAGCCAAAAATTAATTTTTATAAGAAAAATAACAAAAAAAAACCAAAAAACACATTTAAACAACCACAAATGAACCAAAAAAAAAATGAAAATTTTCATTCAACGGACGATTTAAAATAACAAAAATAAAAATGAAAATTAATTTTTATTATAAAAATAATTATATTATACTAATTAATTAATGATTACATCTAACACGAAAAAATTGAAAAAAAAATTAACTTAAATTAAATTTATCCAGTTTCAATTTATAAATTATATAATTAGTATTTTATTAAAAGAAAAAAAAAAATCAAAAAAATTTCAAAAATTAAATTTTTGAAAAATTCCATTTTTTTTTGTAATTTGATATTTTATTATATCAAATCAAACAAAAAAAAAAATACGATAAAAAAATAAAATTATAAAAAATTTTTGGAAAAACAAAAGATTTATAATTAAAAAAAAAATTAAACCAAAAACACAATTTTAATTGAAAACTTTTAATTTTTGAATAATTTCAAAAAGAAAACTTCTCGAGCTTCAAGCAAAATTACGATATTACGATATTAATTTAAAATCAAAAACATAAATAAAAAAATATTACTACAAACAAAACACTGTGCTAAAATAATTATTAAAAACAAAAAAAAATATTAAAAATTAAAAAAAAAAAAACCAAACCATTAAGTAAAATATTAAAACTAAGACAAAAAATTAATTTTAGATTTTTTCGGTATATATGAGAAACAAAAAAAAATGAATAATAAAAATTAAAATATTTCATAAAAAACAAAAAAAAAAAATAAAATTCAAAATTTATCATTAAAAAATTATGGCAAAAAAAAAAAAAAATTATATATACACAAAAAATGATTAAAATGTAGATTTGTAGTTTAAAAAATAAAAAAAGTGAGGAAAAAAAAATACGATAAAAAAACGATTTTAAGTCTGTACAAAATGTTTCGGAAATTATTTATTTTAAATTTAACAATTTATATCGTAATTAAATGGTTACATTTAAATTTTTATAGTAACAGCAATTAAAAATAATTTTTAGTATATATAAAGTTTACTGGTATATTTTTTTAATGCACAACGGCAAATCGAATTTTTATTTATCATTTTTCTAATATCTTTAAAATAATATTCACCTATATTATTTAGTTGAAGCTCAATAATAGAGGTGAATTTCATTTTTTTTTTTATTTAGAATATTATTATTACTCAAATTTCAATGTTCTCTCAACTCATAATAATTGTAGTTTAAATAAAAATTTATATTACTTGCATTATATACAATTAATTTTAATTACTCATTTTATACTTAATCTATTACTATAGAAACAATTAAATGATAATTTCAATTGCTATTTATTATAATTTTAAAAATATATTTTAAATATAAAATAAATAATAATATTTACTTACCCGGAATTTAAATATCAATTTCAAATAATAAAATTTATTGCAAATTTGAGTTATTTTCAAAATATTGAAAAATTTTCCTTTTATTCTCAATCGAATATTTGTTCCTGCTAATATACATATATTTCGTGGGTAACATACGTACTTTCTGATTTTCTTCTAATTTTATTCTAATTCTCTTCTGAAGAAAAAAGGAGTTTTGAAAATTTTTTTGAAAACATCATTATTTCGGAAAAATATAAAAATTTTCAATAAAAATATTTTTGAATGTTGAAAAAACTGCGTCACAAATATTAATTTTTCAAGGCTAATATCTCACTCATTTTTTAATATCTCATTTGTCATCTAAATTTTGACAAATTGCAATTTGAGTCTATGTGTTGAAATGATAATCAAAAACATTGCCGCTTATCTCTAAGGTCATATTTGTATTAAATCTTATACATATTTTTTTATTATTTTTTGGAATGTGTAAATGCATATTGGATTCCATTTAATTAATTATTACTAAAAACATGTTATATAAATAGTTGTATTTATTATAATATGTGTGAATACAAACATAAAAAACTTGATGCACTTTAAAATTTTGGTACGCTACTATACTACAATTAAATACTTTGCAGAAACACTTCACTTAAATTCGCAAGGTAAAAGTAATAATCAATTAAATTTTGATAATATATTCATTATCAATAATAATTAATTTTATTTTTATTAATTTCAATTTACATTATTTATACGTCTTTTAAATCATGTCATTGAACTTATTTTGTCAAAAAACCAGAAAAAAAAATTAAAATAACTGTAAACCGTTGATATTATATAATTAAAATGGTGTCATAAAATTTTTAAACTGACCAGCTTTTTATATTAATTACGAGGTAAATTGTTAAATAAATTATTAAAATTAATTAAAATAAAAAAAAAACCAATATCTATTTGTAAGAATTTGAAGATATTATAAAAATAAAATTAAAAATATACGAAATTTTTAAAAATTAAAAAAAAACTTTTTGGACAATTCAAATTTATTTAATAAATATTCAGATTAATACAATAAAATTCAATATCAAGGCAATGAAAATAGAAAACAAAAAAAAAACAAGTATCTGTAACTTTTAAAATACAATTTTTTTTTGGGATTAAATTAAAACAAAAATTAATGAAATTTTAAATTAAAAAGCAAACTGAGAAAATAAATAAAACAAGAATAAAAGAATCTATTTAATAAGAAATTATGTTTCGGCAAAATAAAATATTGTAAGCTCAAAAAATTTCCTTTTTTAAATTTTATTCAAAAATTTATAAAAAAAGTTATTAATAAATAATGCAAATTAATAATAAAATTATAATTTATTATTAATATTTTTATATTTTAATATATAATTAATAATATTATTATATAATAAAAATAAACCATAATTTTAGACTTTTAATGTTCAATTAAAATTTTCATTCTGTTTTATTAAGTACAAACACCAAAATATAATAAAATTTTTGATTTTTTACAATTGAATTTTAAAACTCAAAATAAAATGAAATTAAAGTTAATGAAATAAAAATTAAACTTACTTTAAAATATTTTTTGGGCTTGCCATTATGCTATGAATTTTATATTTGAAAAATTTATAACATTTTAACGATTGTTATAAATTTAATTTCCGAATTTTTTTTAAGAATAAATTTATTGAATTCATTTTATCATTTAAGAACAATATAAAATGCAAAATAATATTTTGAACATATTATATGAAAAAATGAGACAAAAATTTCGAACACAGTCAATATGTAATAACATTTCGAAAACTGAAATCTAACCAAAACCAAAAAAAAAAAAAATACAAAAGAAGCAAAAAAATTAAAACAAAAAAAGCAAAATTAAAAAGTCCAAAAAATTTTGATGTTCACTTATGTACTTTATATATAATTATTTTCATTAATAAAGAATAATATGGTAAAAATTTCACATTCAATTTTTAATTTTAAGTGGTAAAATATGGAAATGTAGATTTATCATCGAATTTCTTTATTTTCAATTTAACATTTTGAAGGTAAGTTTGCTTTAAAGTTGATTATGCTACAATATGTTCATTAACTGTCACAGCGACGCAGCACCATCGCAATAAAACAAGACGTTTTAAAAAATAATAAATTTATTTTATCTTATTTTTTCGGAAATTTGCCGCAAGGTATTTACTTTGAAATTTGTAATTATGATTACTGACTCAAACAGTGTTGAATTTCTCATTACAATATGTCAAATGTGTCAAAATTTGAAATACCTATTAATAGTGAAAAATTGATTTTTTAGTTTTAAAACTTACCTTTGCTGTTTGGAAATTTACTGTTTTATTAAAATTTTATTAAAAATTTAAATTGTTTAAATAAAAACTTTTGAAATAAAACTTACTTAATATACTATAATTAAAAATATACTTTTAGGTAAATTGTTGGAAAAATGAATTAATCTAGTCGTATGGGATAAAAAATTTATATTGAAAATGATAAAGAAGCCGGGGACTTGGAAATTCTTTAAGAAGTGCATTTTGTTTGGTCACTAATTTATTCAATGTAGGAGTTTTTACTTAAAATGATTTTTATATTAAAGAATTACTAATTATTAGATTTTATTCTTACGAATATTGCAATACTTACAAAATTTTCATAACTTTCTTTTTGTAATTGAATTTTCGGTATTAAAAGAAAATCGTTAAAATTATTATAAACTTAATTACTTATACAAATTTATTTACTAAGTATTTAACATATTTTAACAAATGAATTTTATATGTAATATCAATAACATTCGTGACGATTTGAGTTAAACGCTTTCGATTTAAGTTGAATAATTTCATTAAAATTTTTAAACAATATCAAATTATATAATATAAATTTCATCATTTATCAAGATTAATTAAGCTTGTGATTCTTCTAGTTTTTCATTATCAGATTTAAAAAATCCTTTAAGTCCATCTTCTATAACTTTTAATTTTGTTACATCTTTTAAATTAATTGTTTCAGATTGTTCTTGTGCACATTCTGGTACTTTTGATCTAAAATCACATGCTTTCTTTTTTTCATTAAATACTAAAAATTGAGCACAAGTATATAAACGTGGTTTATCATTAACACAAACAAAATAATGTTTACAACTTTTTTCATTTCTATAATATTTAAGTTTTTCTGGTGTTGTTTCATGTCCTTCTTCATCAACTGGTCTTTCTTCTTCTGGTGGACATTTAAAACCTAAATATTGTTCAGGATCACAATCTTGTACTTCATCGGGCCAATCACATTGATATGTTTCAGAATTAAATGCTAATCCAAATGGACAATATGTAAGTGTACCAACACCATGTGCACAATTCATATAACCTGCACAATGCATTGCATCACCAAATTTATAAAAACCAAATTGTCGGGGACAATTTTCTGTTGAATTTGCTGGTTGTAAACGAAGTCGATTACCACATTTTACTAAAGGTTTAATAACACAATCACCATCCGGAGTAAATTCATCATTGAAAACTAAACCATCTGGACAAAGTTTTTCTTCAGCTACACCATCAATACATTCAATATAGGCATCACATTGTTCTTCAACCGGAAATTTTCCATTAGGTTGTGGACATTGTGCCGTATGAATTTCAACAACTGAAAAAAAAAATATTAATTATGTTTTTTTTTTTCAATAGTGCATTAATTTTAAAGTTTACAGTAAGTATTCACTTATCCTCCATTTACATATTCCCTAAGCATAAATAATTAGAAATTAATTTTTAAAAATGAATAAAACCTTTTAATTGCCATTTTTTTAGAAAATTTTTCTTTTTATTTAAACAGATTTTCATTTTTAAGAGACTAGAATTGTTCATAAAAATTCATTATCCACACACGTTTCTCTTTATTCTTTTTCGTTTTTTATTTTTATTTTAATTTAATCTTAACTAAATTTCTAAAAATTAAAAATTTTTTTTTTATTTTAAGTTAATTATTTTCCACTGCTTTTTCCGGAACATCCTGTAACATTTGCTATTCCATCACATGCATTTATTAATTCATTGAAAGCTTGATCTTCACCACAATTCAATAATCTTGGTTTATGTTCAATACAAACGAAATAATGTTGACAATCATGCGGTGATTTATAAAATCTTTGTTCTTCTGGTCCCAATAATTCAGATTTCTGTACATCTGGACATTTAAAACCTAAATATGCTTCAGCATCACAATCTGGTACTTGATCAGGCCAATCACACCTATATGAATCTTTGTCGAATGCTAATCCTTCTGGACATTCAAATATAAATGCTTTACCAGCAGCACAATTCATAAAACGGCCACAATTTGATGCATCACCTAATCTATAATAACCAAATTGATGTGGACAATCATCAGTTGCTTGTGGTGGTTGTGTTTTACCACGTTGTGCGCAATCAACATCAATTGGATATTGACATGGATATGCAAATGGACTTAATTTATCATTAAATAATAAACCATCTGGGCATAATTTTTCTTCACCAACACCATCAACACATTCAATATAGGCATCACATTGTCCAGAAACTGGAAAACGTCCATTTTTTTCCGGACATTGTCCAAAACCTGTAAATAAAAAAGAAAATTTATAACGATTACTTTATGGGGAACTGGGGGAATTTTATTCTTACCAATTGGGTTAATTTATAATGTTCCATTTTATTGTTTTTAGTGCTTGTTAGTTTTTTTAATATTTCGAAATTTTTTAATTGGATTTAAATTTATTTCCCGCATGAATTTTATGTCATTCTCAGCTTTAAGTTATTAATTGAACCGAAATGGTATATTTATGGAATAAAGGACAAGGAGTATTAAAAGAAATTTATGGGGATATTATAAGGTGACAAACATAATATAAAATTTAGGAAAACATTTAACGAGTTTAAGTCGATGATAAATGCTGTTTGAGTTGTAAACATACAATATAAATTTCCAGTTTCTAAAATTCTGAAAAATTCACTGTGTAACATAAATATTTTTAAGTTTTATTAAAATTTTATTAAAATTTAAAAATAATTAATAAAAACAACGACATACATAATACAAAAGCAAGCATAAATAAATTCTGTAAAAGTATTGAACTGACAGAATAGAATGGTCTTGAGAATTTTCAATATTATTATTATTATCAGATCAACCTTGTTTAATTATCTTAATTTTCTTGAAATACTCATTATATTCTCTTACATATACAATATTATAAAAAAAAACTTATATTCTCTTATATACTAATGATGAGTTCCCGTATTTATATTTGATAGTGTATATTACCTTACAGCAATTCTAATATAGCTCGTATAATAGTAATTTATTAGAAAAAATTGCAATGGCACTAAATTATACTATCAGAATGATATTTGATCATTTGGAATTTAAATGTATAGAAATATCAAACAGTAGATTTATTTGTACATAATGTTAAATGTAATTATATTATGAGATAAAAACTTGAACTTGAATATAATATGTAATTTATATGTTATTGTTATAAGAATGTATTAGAATGTTTTATGTTTATAGCGATGTTGAATTAAGATTTTCTTAAATAACATTTATCTATTTATAAGACTATAATAGAAAATTATGTTTTAAATTTGAATTTTAGTATAAGATCAAATGAAACTTAATTAAGTTTAAATTTTGACAATATTTTGATCGTACTTAAAATAATTTCGACAAAAAATATAGTAAACAATTCTTTACAAATTAAATTTTTCTAAAATTTTAATAAATTACTATATAAATTCTTTGAAAATAATTATGTCGAGTTCATATATATCTATCAGAAAATCGGAATTTATTTCTTCTTCTTCCGGTTAAATTGACTTCCACATCTTAATGTCTACTAAAAACGTAATATAACGTAGGAACAATATTCTTCTTAAAATATTCAAGTGATTCATAATTTTCCTTTATAATTAGTTCAACAAAATTCAATTATTATTACAAAAATATATATGTTTTAAGTATCAATTATATAGTTAAAGTGCAAAGATATTATAAAGAAGTATGTAGGAGTACAATAACCCCCATATAATATGCTCTTATACAATATGAGTAAGAGCAAATAATATGTATATAAATAATTATTATTTTCATGATTTATTGTCTATAATTTATTCCGGAATGGAAATCACATATTTGGTATTCAATATTCATAAATGTATATGAGTATATTACTTAATAATAATGATGTTACTTAATTTGTCATAATGCTCTTAAATAATAATTTCAATTACCTAAATTTTAAATCCCAATAAGCTATTTGAAATATTTTGACAAAATGTATAACACGTTTATTTACTTGAAATTTGTATATTAATATTATTTTTGTATAGTATAATGTAAATTTTGTTAATATATTTAAAAAAATTTGAAAAAATTTAATTTTGAAATATGTGTGTACTCATATAACGAGCAGTTATGTAGATATATACTCTGCTCATTTTACCATATTAAATTTAATGTAGATTTTGTGTTTACATGTTAAAGTAGTTTTTTTTTATATTTGCATTAAAGTATGCAAATTTTTAAAATAAATATTATTTTATTATAAATGATACTGTCAACTTACAAAACTTGTATATTGATATTCTGGCACTATAGATCAAAAATAAATTTTAACTATATTTAATTCGAGGAGAAGAGGTGATAATAAAAATTAAATTGATTTTAAATTAAGTATGATAACATTTTAATTGAGATTACACTCTGTGTAATTTTTTCATTAATTAAAAAATTATATTCGAATATAATGAAAGACGATTGATTATCTTTCAGAAAATTTCAATTAACACATTGCTAATTGAATTGTGATCGCTTGATTAAATTCGGAAAAGGATTCTGTTCAAAAATTAATAACGAATAAAAATTAAAAACGATAATCGTATCCAGAATATCATGTTTAGAAATAATTTCGCAAATCTGTCGTATCAAAAACGATGTTGTAAAACGGAATAAAAAGTTTTACACTCGTATTTTTTAAGGCGCATGACATGATCTGATATGTAGCATATTCCTCAAAAATTTAATAACTTCTGTATATAATTTCTATAATTTCAAAATTGACTTCAATAAATTTATTGAAAATTTGCAACACATATAAAAAATATATAACACATCTTAGAAACCGCGGTTGTCAAATTATACCTTGTCGTAAATATCTTAATGATCCGAAATGTCTTATTAGAAAATGTCGTATCATGAGGAATTAATGGTATTAAAATTTTTCATAAATTAGTTTTAGCTTTATAAACTTTAATACATAAAAGTTTCAGGAAATTTTTAATTATAAGTTACTTTCAGTCAAATTAATTATAAATGTAGGGTCAATATAAAGTCGGTTTTTTTCACTCTTATACATTTATAATTCTATATAATAAATCTCGCATAAAATTATACATTTTAACAGGTTCAAAAATCCAGGAACTTAAAAAATACAAAAAAAAAAAAAAAATTTGTAGGATGAGAAATAAAAAAAATGAGTACAAGTTAATATTATCTGGAAATTTTAATATTTTTTTTTTTAATAAACTAATAAATCGAGCTGAATATAATATTTTCATTATAATAATAAAATTAATATTAAATACTATTTGTATAACTATACAGTATAATAAAAGATGAACTAATTAATCTATTTAAAATTCGATTAAAAAAAAACCTAATAATTTATCAAAAAATTCAAATAATTCAAGAATTCAATATAATATTACTATAACAAGAAATACGATAAAACATGAATTTTATTTAAATTTTAAATATTATTATACTTAAAAACTTAATTATAATCATGTATTTTTACATTTATTAACAACAGCTATCATAAATCTGTAAAAAATATTATAATAAAAAATAAATAAGAATTAAACAAGATAATAAAATATTTATTGGGTATAACACCATTTAAAGATGGTAAAGTTTTAAGTACTAGCATGCGAGTATAAAAGATTAAAATTTAAAAAATATTAAGTTGGGTCAAACTAAATGGTTTGTAAAGTAGCACCTTTCAACAATTGAAAATATTGCTCTTAAAAGCAATCTCCTATATTGATAAAATTACACTAATTACAGAAATCAAAATATTTCAAATATTGCATATATTTAGGATGAGCAACAGGAAAAATTTGAAAGAGGCTTTTAACACAATAATTGGATGGTTGATGATTAAGTAAGTGAATTAAAATGAATAATTATATTTTTTGATGGAATGGCATTTATTATTGCATTTTCATCTTATTATATTATAAATATTTTTGAAAACTTGCAGTTGCCGAAAATTCAAATGAAGCAAATTTTAAGAGGCGATAACTTGAGAATAAATGGAAATAAAATCTTTATTAGTATGTAAAAGCTATTAAAATAAATTATTGACTCTTATAAGTGGTAGTTTGAAAGAAAAACGATATCAAAAATTCGAAAAACAACGGGTTCCCATATAACGGTTAATTTTGACGACTATTTTGTCATTTTCAAGCTCAACTGTGCTATGGAACAATGTAATAAATCAGCAACTACTTTTTCACTCTTATGAAATTTAAAAAATATTTTGTGGTTTCGTTACAATAAATATTCACAAAATGACATTATTAAGACTTTGAGGGGCTATAACTTTTAGGGGGGTGAGATAAATTTATTGTTCTACAGAAATAAGTTTTAACTTAATACCTATTTGTGTATAAAATTTCAGCTTTCGATTTCAATGGGTGTAGAAATTTTATGAATAGAGATCGGGGAGGGACGTCTGGGACGGACAGAGTGAAATTAATAAGCCATTTTTTCAAATTTTTTTTTTTCTTTTGGAAAACTGCTAAAAATGACCGCCCGAAAAGTAAATAACTTTCACTATCATTTTATTTTTTAAAGTTCGGGATTTCTTCTTTTTTTCTTTTGGTTATTTTTTTTTTTATTCTTCTTTTTTTTTAGTAATAGCATTTAATATCGTTTTTAAAAGCGGTTGTTTTATATTTTTTTTTTATCGTTTTTTATTACTTTTTCTCTTCTTTATTATTATTATTTTTTTTTTAATTTATAATATTGATGTTTACTCGGAAATTTGCATATTGGCCTTGACTGTTTTTGTTTTTCTTTTGCTCTTTTTATGTATATTTTTTTTTGATATTTATATGATCGTATGTGGTTATTTATATACATACATATTATATTTCGAGATTTTGAAAGGAACACCTTGAAAAATCAAAGATATTATACTGAAATTCAGATGAAATTAAAATAATTTTTTTTGTTGCTTTTTATATTATATTACCGTATTTATGATGAGCGGGTGATCTACTATGTTTATTATTATGGTATAATAATTTCATTATTATTTTATAGCTCACATACATATGTATGTACATATGTATGCATACTGTATTAATTTTTATTTGATTTAATTTCGAAATTAAAAAAATCTTCATTATATTATGCACTATATAACAGCAAATGCTAGAAAATTCCATTTTTGGGAATTTTATTGAAAATATTTTAAATAAGGAGGTGTTATAATTTTTATAATACAATAATTTAATTAATTTTTTATATAAATACTTGTAGAATTACAGGAATATTATTAAGTTGTCTGTGTTTTACTGTAAATTGTAACCGGTTTGTTGACAGATCGATCATTAAATTAAATTGTCAAAATATGCATTACACGATTTTGATTGTTGCATAACAGTAATAAAATAAAAGAGAGGAAAAAAAATTTTTTTTTTTTTGAGAGACAGGATAATAAATTTTAATATTTTATTGTTATTATTGCAAATAAATTCTAAAAAGAATACAAAAAAATTTCCATATTTAATACAAAATATTTTTTTTTTTATTTTCAAAGAATTTTTTCATCTTCTTTTATTTTTTATTTAAAAATAATTTACGTTATGCGATCTTTTGTTCTATTCTGTTCTATTCTTTAAAAGTTCTCTCAAATAATGTTGACGACAGTAATAATATTATGTATATGTATATGAAGAGTAAAGAATATTGCAAGAAACAGAAAAACTGTTTAGCAACAGCATCTAAATAACATGATTATTATAATATGAATAATGAATATAGGTAACATAATTCCGTATAGGTATAACAGTATAATAATAATAATGTTATAATTTTAAATTTAGAACAAGATGTTTTGAATAGAATTTTAATTTTATTGTTATTTAATAATATTTATGATAGTATAAAAAATGTTTTATTTTTTGGGTTTTTTTTTTATTATACACGCATATACAAGTGTATATATTTTTGCCATTTAAATTATTTGTTAAAAAGTTCGATATACATATGCCTGTATGTATACCCCATAAATTTTAGTTCTATTTTATTTATTGAATTTGAAAGAATTTATTTATTTATAAATATTAGGAGATTATGTTCTTCAAAAATTAAAAACTAGATTTTTAAGAAAAGAATAACTAGAATTTATTAAACAATTTTAGATTTTTTAATCAATAAGTTATAAAATTCAGAACACTTTTTTATTTATAATGTAAACCTGTAATTTAAATTCGAATTTATATAATTATAGTAATAAAATCGAATAATGAATGTAAATTCGAATTTGAAATATGTAAAATTTTTACTAGATCTAAAAAAACTTACACGCATATATAGGGGCCTTACATATTTTTGTGAAACGATTTTTGTATTTTACCGAAATGGAAAAGTAATGATGTACAAATTAATTGGTGCTACCTTATAATTTTTCTGAATACGAAATTTATTTCACGAAAATCGAATTATATAGTAAGGCCTGATTTATGCGTACATATCGGATGACCTGAACATCTATAAAATCTTATTGAACCCCATTATTGTCAATATAACAGTAAATATAATTTAATTAATTGTTTTTATATGTAAATATAATTAAAGTGATAAATAAATTTAGGAACTGATCGTCATTTTAATTTTTTCGAAAAAAAATATTATTTTATATTCTAATTTATAAATAATTTTATCTTTCTTAGAAACATTAGAATTTTTTAGATCGTATATAATATTGGTTGACTTAAGATATAGGAACTGTTTTTAGAATTATATTACATTAATTCAAGTCCCTTGCTCGTTAAATATTTAAAAGACATACATATTATCATTTGTATTACTAATATACTGGAATGTCAACAATTGGATTAGACTAGATTAAACTAGAAAATTTAACCAATATATATTTTAATACAAAAAAAATTTAATTTAAAATTAAAAAATAAAAGTTACTGATGCAATTATAATATACGATAATATACAATCACGTAATACGAATTTTCAATCACGTAATGTTTGTGAAAGTAATTCTAATTTAATTAATATTGCAAAGTAATTTGTTCCGAAAATTTGGGTAAGTAATTTTTATTTAATTAATTTTTTATACGAACAGAATTGCATATATTTAAGGTATACTTGAAATTTTCCATTATCATAAAATAAAATATCGTAATTTAATACAATGATATATCGGAAAATAATATTAATATCGTAAATTTTGTAAAAAGAAAACTGTCTGTCTCATTTTTTAAATATTTTATAATGTTTTAAATTAGAAATCAATAAAAGTTAAAAATTTCTAAAATTAAATTTCAAATTAAATTTAATAAATTCATTATTTTGTTAAAACAATTCATGTGTAAGGTGATGATAATAAATGGAGTGTTAACAAAATCTCAAAAAAAAATTTTTATATAAAAATCTATAAATGAATCAAAGGCTTACAATTAAAATAAAAATTTTTTAAATGTTTTTTTTAACCATAAAAAAATTTTCCATGATTTTCTTATGATTTTCTCATGATTCACTCAAATAACCTTTATGAAATTATTTGCTTAATTAACATAAAATAATATTTATATTCTTCATCTCCTTCATTTCAATTTTTTTCATCTTAAATCTTAATTAAAATTTTTCCTAATATATTATTATGAAGAAGCGCATTTATGGGTTACACCTTTATTAAAAACAAAATATAAAAATAAAAAAAAAATTAAAGTAAGGTGTATTCACCCACTTTAGATGTTAAAATAAAAAAAAATATTCAATCTTACATCAATCAAAAAAAAAAAAACATTAAATAACATGCAAAAATAGTAAAAAATAGCTAAAACATTTAAAAAACAAAAAAAAAATGCATATCGTAATTTTTTACACACCTTGAATGATGAAAATTCCTAATGTGATTGCAATCGCTCCCGATATTCTTCTAAACATTTTTTTTTTTTATTTTTTTATAATTTTTAAATTTTTCTCCTTTTTAACCTTTTTGTTTTTTTTTTTTAAATTATTTTAACACGAAATTTTTTTTTTGTGTTTTGTTACTATTCAATTTATTTTTTCTTATTTATTATATAATTTTTTGCAAAAATTTCAAAAAAAATTTTTTATTAAAAAAATTCAATTTACGGTAAAGTTAAATTTAAAATTAAAAAAAAAAAATATTTAATTTTCTTATCGTATAACAAACTAACTGCTATATTTCACACAACCGTTAATTGCAACGATTAAGATTCAACTGTGACTTGAGATGTTTTTTTTAAAACAAAATTCTCTTTTTGTGTTTATTCACAGCGCCCAACTATTTTATACAATAGTAGTATAATAGTTAGCTTATATACTCGTATAAGTATAATAGCAGCGAATGAAATCTTTTTGTATGAAGATGAAATGGCAAACTAAATCTAAATTTGTAATGAGAAGTGATTTTTAATATTAATATTGTTGATGGGGTTTTAAAATCATACATACATATTATGTATATGTATAACAATTATATTAAAACAAAACAAAAAAAAAACAAGCATATAATAACAATAATAATAAAATAATAATAAAAGTAAGAAATAAAATTAACTGTCTATACAGTTGCTGACAACAGTGGATAATCTTTAATATAATTTCATTTTCATCTTCATTTCGCTTCTTGTTCGCTATATTATATTATAGTCTAACTCTATATATAATATCATTTAGCCATGTTATTGCTATATGTACACATATTTGGGTATATTTAAATTGTAAACCTTAACGGTGGCGTTATAATTAATAGTTTTTTGTGTAAATTTTGTGGGTATTATATAAATATACTGTTATATACATAATTATGTATATATACTAATATAATACGTATAAGTATATTTGTATAATAAAAATAGCAGGTGTGACATATTATTGTGATATTTGTTGGTTTCATTTGATTTTTTTAACATTATAAGAATATTATAGGATTTTTTCGGAGGGTTATATTGGTAATATATTAAAGTTTTAAATGGATTTGCCATTTACGTGATATCAGATATATCAAAAATTTTTTTTTATAAAAGTATTTGTTTTAGAATATTATTTCAAATATTAGAATTGAATTTTAAAAAGTGTGTATACTTGTATTAAACTATAGGTGTTTAATATGTAAATAATGTGCACTTTGAAATTTTAAATATAAACTTGTAAAATTGTTGTTATCTTATCGTAACTTTCTGTAGTCATATTTTATGCTAGAATAACTCATAATACTTTATGCAAGAAAATATGCAATATTCTTTCCGAATTATTACATACTCGTACAATCTTCAGTTTGTAATAGCATTAAATTGCAAGCTTTGAAACATGATTAAACTACAAGCATGTAGATGCAAAAGCTCAGTATAATATGACATTCATGAGCAATGCGCATACCATGGGAAAATCATTGCAAAATCAGTATAAAATGTGTATATTTTTGACTAAAATTTAATGAACTTAATAAATATTAGATTTTTAATAATAATGAAAGTAAGATTTGAATGAAAGTATAACAGTATTTCCGGCTAAATTAAGAGTCATTCAGAGTTAAATTAATTCAACAGAAAAAAATATTAAATTTTTAAGGGTATTCTAATTGCTATGCTGTCTGTTATATTCATTAATCATTATAAAAGAATTATTTTTTTACAATAATTGCCAAGATATACGATAAAAAAAACTTACGATAAAATTTAATTAATAATTATACTTTAAAAAGAAAATTTTAATAAAATCTTGTATATAATTAAAATACTTTAACAGATTAAAATTATTTATGAATACTTGGAAATTAGATCATATTATTTTTTAAATAGCTTATAAGTAAGTATGAATTATATTAACATTCCGACCACACTAAATTAAAATATTGATAAAAATCAAGAATATCTTATTAATATAACAACTCCTAGTGACTATATATGTATATAACTGATGTATTATTAATATAACCAAAATATAACTTAAATTAATAATAAAATATTAAAATAAAAAAATTTCAAATACAAAATTTTCTTCTTAGAATAATTTTGAGTCGTTTAACAAGTAATTTTAATTCGTATCTACAATATAGAATTTAGAAAAAAAATTTTTTTAAAAACCAGTTAGGTAGCAATCTGTTAAAATATTAAGTTGCGTTACTATAGACATATAAAATTTAGAAAATATGCAAACAAATTTTTAAATATAATCTATAATTAAATATTTTATATACTACATTTATTATATAGTAGAATTTGTACATGAGTAATTTTATAGATTGAGATTAGTACAAGTACAAGTATTATAGGTAAACTCATCATATAACTGTTATTAAGTAATTGAACCGTTTTCATGTAATTTCTAGAGTTTATCTAGCCTAGCAGTATATAAGATATTCTACTGTCTTCTTTGAAGTTAAACTTTTTTTTTGATATTGATCAGTATAACTTCTATTCGATTGCTTCTCCAAACTCCTTCTGTGACAGTGACAACAGTCTCCTATTCAGATTTAAATTTTTTGAAATTTTTCCTTCTTATTTAAGCTCCCACAATTAATGCTTAGTAGTTTAAATGAAAAATTTTAAGTAGTCTTCTTGTTGCTTGATTTGACACTATATTCTTAATTCCAACTTTGTTGATTGATGTGCCTTATTAATCACGTGCATTGTGTCATATTATTTAGTCACTGAGAATCTGATTATCATATACTTTGTTTTCAATAATTTGTTTCGGACTTGCAGTAAAAATAAATATTGCAATTTTTATTAATAGCAAAAGATTTGCAATGTTTTTTTTTATAAAAAAAAAATAATTTAAATTATAATTTGTAAAGATGTTTAAAAAACTGTTCTACTGCATCATTTTTACATTGTTAGCTGCATATTTTGCCATAATCCAAAAAAAAAAACTATGCGAATATTTAATAGATTTTTCTTACATTCTGAAAAAAAAAACTGTTATACATTTTATTATTTATAATAAGAGTTTATTTTTAATCCTGAAAACGAACTGTTATACAATTACACTTCTTCGCGTTTCTTATATTAAAATAAAAGTAAAACGAGCTTTTATCATAATCATATGTATATCAATTTATATAAAATTATAACAATAGTTTTGTATTATTATCTTTACATATATAAATGTAAATATATTAATAAACATTTACGACATTTTATTACTATTATACATAACTATTATACAAATATTTTACTGCACTATAATATACTTATTTGCATAACAGTATTAATTTGTTTACATAATTATTATTTACATTCTCATTCAATTCAAAAAATCTCTGAATATTATGATTTTTATGTTGTAGCATAAAAAACAAACTTATATACATAATATATATATACTCGTATAAAAAAAAAATTGTAATTAACCTCAAAATGGTCATCTTGTTTTTTTTTTTTCTTAATTTTGTAAAATATTAATTAAATATGTAAAACCAGTAAATTTGTGCATAAAACAACATTCCCTTTCGTTATTTGTATATGTAGGCATTTTAATAAATTGATGCTTTTTTTTTAGCTATTATTTTACAAAATTAAGAATAAAATGAATGAAAAATCGAAATATTATGGTAAAGTTTTTTTTTTTTTCTTAATTAATAAAATTTAAGACTTGATTAAAATCTTTATTGAGTGACAACTAATCATATAATTTGTTTTTTTTTTTTTTCGTAAAATCAGAAGAAACATTTTTTTTTCTGTTAAATATTTGGACATTTCAATAAAAAAAAAAATAACTGTCTTTTTGTAAAAAATATAAAATTGGTATACATGTATGTGCTTGTATGTATGTATGTATATGATTGAAATCAATGAATTTTAACACCTTCTCTATACACCGCAACTAAACGAAACGAAAATTAAGCAAAAAAAAATATTTTTTTTTTTTAAATAAAATTTTTATGAAACATCAAACGAGTCTGACGACATTTTATATTTTATCTTCTATATTTTTACTGTTATTCCTGTTCATATGCATGTATAGCAATATTCAGAGTTGCCACAGGAATTGAAAAAAAAAACAATTATTATTTTCATTTTGAAAATTTCCCAAATTATGTTACCAAAAATACCAAATCAAAAAGTCCTATTATGAGGACAAAATTTAAAAAAAATAATAACATAGGATACCTATCAGAATATGGCCACCGCAAAAATCTACCATTTGTATGGTTTATTTGAAAATCTTGCATAAAATGACGGAAATTTCCTTGAAACCACCACTTTTAAGTTTTAAAAAAGTCAATAAGACTTTAGTTAACATATCTACAAAAAAAAAAAATTTATATTTGGCTCTTAATTGTAGTTCAGTTTATAATATCCGATTTCCCTGAAAAGTATGTCATTTAACTGAAATTGAGAAACACAAGTGAAAAAATAAGCAGACCAATAATGCGTTCTTTTAATACGGAGAAGTGCATTATTGTTGAAAATTTATTTTTAATTTTCCACATATCCTTATTTGTATTGTATGCGCAGTATATACTCGGTAAATACCCTTTGTTGCTTAAAAATGCGGTGGATGTACAATTTACATTCTCTCTGTATGTAGTTCTTTAAGCAAGGCCTTATATCGGTAGCTAATTTAAGAATTTCAAGAATTTTGGGATTTACGAAAAAGTTATCAAATCAAATAAGAACTTACTATAGTCACCAAACGTAAAGTTAAACGTAAAGTTACCATTTTTAGTAGAAAATTACTAAAATGGCAACCTTAGTAACATGTATTATATTGTGTATGTGTGCATGTATTAAATATTTAATAAAATTTTTTATTCATTTATGTGAGTTTTGTGTATAAATGTGAGTATGTCATTTTATTTTTTTTTCTCTTCTCGTTCTTCTTGTTTTTTTTTTTTTTTGATGAAGCATAAAAATAATTTTTTTTTTTAATTTTTTTAATGATGACCTTGACTTTTCATTATAAATTTATGATTATAATCGAAAATTTTTTTCTTTATTATTTTTTTCTCATTTTAAATATGAATAGAAAAACAAATATTATTTATACATATATTTGTTATATTATAGAAGATGAGAAAATGTCTAGATCAAAAACTATTATACTAATTCGATTTAGTTTTTTTTTTTTTTTTGAGTGAAAATAAAAACACCAGAATATAATAGCAAAAAAAAAATAAATGACATAAATATCAAATGTCAAAAAGCAACTGAGCACATATTACTCATTTATTTATTATACACTTTTATTATATAACGTTATGCCGATAAAATAAAATAAAATAATAAAATAAAATATAAAAAGAGACCATCACACATTATTTATTTAAAGTTATTAGTAAATTATCAAATAAAATTAAGAATTCTTTTCTGTTATATTGCATACTAATATAACATTTTTTTTTTTGTTTTGTTA